TTCTTTCTTTCTTTCTTTCTTTCTTTCTTTCTTTCTTTCTTTCTTTCTTTCTTTCTTTCTTTCTTTCTTTCCCCACTGTTTTATTCCTCATAGAAATCATCAACCTGGCAGTCAGATGGAAACGAGCCTTCATTACTAAAGGCTGACTGATAGGAATGTTGGTAAACAATAATGAGCTGATGTCAGATTATAGATGAGAATCCTGTTGCTGTGTTCCTGTAGTTGCACTACTAGACCAACCAGAAGGGGGCGGTAGAGCGGCTAACTGACAGAAGTACGTGATGAACAGCGCATGCTCAGTACAGCACATGCGGAGAGCGAACTACACTGAGCCGCCTTCCTGACCAGGGTGGGCAAAGAGCGAAGATTATCAGTCAGTTTGGATCAGAACCGCAGGAATGGATCTAGGAACTGAAGGAAAACTGCAGCTGGTCCAGAAACACATTCGAGCTTTCCCAGACTTTCCAAAGAAAGGCATCCTGTTCAGGTAGGTCCTGTCCCCGGGTCCACTTTGAATTTATTCCCTATTAATGGTTCTGATCGGGCCCAAAAAGGTCAGGTTGATGAAGCATAGGTCCAGGTGTCCTGCAGGTGGACCCTCCCTCACTACAGGGGGTCCTGGCTGCTCCCTGGGTTCAGTTTATCTGAGCTAAAGCTGAAGAACTGAGATAGTCCTGGACCAGTCCTGCTGCTGCTGACTCTGCTTCCTGCCAGAACAGGAAGACTGAAGCTGCTGGAGGTCATTTCAGTTCCTACTCTGCAGCATTTCAGCATTTTAACAGATTAGGAACTGAATGGTGCGGCGTGCATTTACATTTCTCTCCACTGTCTTCTACCCTCTACAAACAAATGTTTATGTTATTTATTTTTCTAAGCAAAGAAGTTCAGGATGAACTAGTTTCATCTCATTACCTTTAACCCCCGTTGGAGAGAGCCATTCCCCCAGCATGATTCTGCCACTATCGTGTTTTAAGATGGGGCTGTTGTGTTGTTTTTTCCTACTTTTCAGATTTTTATTTGTTTGAAAAAAATGAGTCATGTTCCATCTACTTCACGGTTTTACAGAAGCTAGATAAACGTTAATGGTTCCAAAGTGAGAGCATCAGGCAGAGTTTTAAAGCTTTTATAATGAAAATGACTTGTTCTTTTTTTTTTGTCTTCCTGTCTGCTAACCTGTGCTGATTCTGCAGGGATATCTGTCCCATCCTGAAGAGTCCAGCTGCTCTTACAGCCGTCACCGACCTGTTTGAGGAACATGTGAGGAATCATTACCAGCAGGTGGATCTGATCATAGGTAATTCAGAGCTAAGCAGGTCTTCACTCCTCAGCCTGAGCTTGTGGTCCATGCACAGAGGGGACATCTGGAAGCATCTGTACACCCCCCTTAAATAAAAAAATGTAATAAAAAAAAAAGTAAAATCTGTAAAATTCAGAGGCCTTTAGCAAGAAGCAGGATTACTGGGTTAGCCTGATAACATCAGGTTTAACCATGACTTCCTGGTCCCACAAAGCTGTGTTTATTCTTAGGAGGCTGGTCACCATGGTAACTCTGTAGACTCTTAGCTGTTTGGACACAATGAAGCTTCCTTTAACTGAAGGCTCGATTTAGTTCAAGGAAAAAACAACATCACAATAAAAGAACTTAAAATTATGTGGTGTTTAAAAAAGTAATAATGACAAATTAAATAGTTTTAAATTTAGTTGTCATTTTTCCTCCTTTTTTTTACTATATTCTCTTTGTCTTTCCTCCTGTATAATTTCCTCATCCACCGCTGGTTTCTGGTGTAATTGTTATATGAAGCTCATTTTCCAAAAGTAAAGCTTAGTCAGATCCTTTGGATATGACTCTATGAGTGAGTCTGTGTCAGACTCTGGCTGTATTACGCAACAGGAAGCTCCATGGGCACCATCTGGGATGCTGAGCGGTCTATCCAGCTGATGAATGAATCCATCATCTTCTGACCACCTGCCTGTTCAGCATATAAAAGAAGGATTTTATACCTGGAATTCTGTGAAATTTCTAATTTACAGCATTATTAAAATCAGGCTGTTAAATAAAAAAGTTGACAAAAATACAGCAGGTGAAACAAGCATTGAATACGTCACAATTTTTCTAAGTAAATATATTTCAAAAGGTGCTACTGACATTTTCAGCAGATGTTGGTAGCGATCCATGCAACATTCACACATACTAAGAAATCAAATCATAGATGTCCAGAAATTAGCTTATGTGAAATAAAAAAACAGGGAAAAAGAATTGAACACGTGAAGAAATCTTGTCTTATGTGTCGTCTGTCCTCAGGTCTGGATGCCCGTGGTTTCCTGTTTGGACCTCTGCTGGCCCAGAGACTGGGTGTCGGGTTTGTTCTGGTCCGGAAGAAAGGCAAGCTGCCAGGAACCACCGTCTGTGTGGCCTATGACCTGGAGTACGGCACGGTAAGGGCAGCCCACATCCAAGCTCTGTCCACAGTCTCGCCTTGTTTCACTGCTGGGCTCACATAGAGATGGACAGATAGATCTGCTGGTGGATATCTGTGGCCCATATGTCCGCCAGTCAATGTCCGCCAGTCCGTTGCAGGGAGACACAAACATACAACCACTCAGACTCCAATCAACATGCAGGGGAGAACATGCAAACTCCACAGGGAATGGTCCAGGTTTCCCCGGGATTCAAACCCACAATCCTCTTGCTGCGAGGCGATGGTGCTTATCAGCCGCTGTCCGCATGCATCCACAGGTTCATTAGCGCAGTCAGCAGCCATGGATCGACGCGTTGCCATCCCTCTATTTTACTTTCATTAATCATTTATTGCTGCTTGTTTTTTTTTTTTGTTTTTTGTTTTTTTAAACTAGCTAAAGTTTTTTATGATTGTGTCATGTTAATAATGTGAACAGAGAGAAGGAAAAAGCAGAAATCGGCAGCAGATATCAGGGATCGATCAGGTGGCTGCTTGTTAGAGTCAAACTTCAGTTCCTTTGCTGTTCATTAGTTAATACTGGATGTCAGCTTCAAGGACAAATTTGGCTCTGATCCAGTTCAGTTTTTTTCTTGGTTGAAGTTGTGACATCACGCTGGTTACCAGTGACAACACAGAGGTTCCTTTGATCCAACCAGAGAAGGAGAGACGAACTCTGTCTACTAGAGAGGGAGGACCAGGTGTTAATCTGGACGAGTATCTCTGCTGATCTGAGCGCGTGTTTCTGTTCCCTCAGGCGGAGGTAGAGATCCAGGAGGACGCCGTGGCTCCGGGACAGAAGGTTCTAATAATTGATGATCTTTTAGCCACAGGAGGTAAGAAGCCATGTTTTCTGTTGTCATTCTGACAGGATCCATAACCAGGATCTGATGCAGAGTGAAGTAGCTTCGATGTTTCTCTGAAATAAAAACAGAAGCAAACTGAATCATTTCCAGCTCTAGATTAAAGTAACGTTTATATTGTATATGCTGTCACTAACACCTCATTGGTTGCAGATTGAAGGATAAACTCCTACATGTTAAACTTAAATTATGAGGCATTTAATCCAGGGTGACCAGACGTCGCTGATTTCTC